GAGAGTCTGAGGCTCAGCCTTTAGTGTTAGTCAATCTAGCAGTTGAACAGAAAAGTTCTGACCCAGGAAAATAGAATAAGAAAAGAAATTGATGAGGATGAAAGATCAAAAGGAAAACTGGAAGGCAGAGAGTGTCAAATTGTTAAATGCTCCTGAGAAGTCAAAAATAATTAGAAGAGGACTGGCCAAATAGCTCAGCGGATTACAGGGGATTTTATCCCCTGGCCTGCTGTGCTAGTCCCTACCCTGATTGCTTACCTTCATCCCAATTGTTCCTCACTTTGAACAGTTTCTTTCTCTAGTATCTAATGTACTTTTCTGATTACTACTTTTCCAAGTTCTGGCACTAGAGAGACAATATAATGTTTAAGCATGTAGTTCTGAGTTATTTCACTAATGAGAATGATTTTTTTTTTTTTTTTTTTTTTTTTTTGCGAAACAGTAGATTGAACTCAGGTCCTTGAGCTTGCCAGGCAAGCGCTTATTCTGCTGAGCCGTCTCCCTGGCCCGAGAATGATTTTTAGTTGCATCCATTTAACTATAAATGCTTCAAGTTTATCTTCCTTTATAAGTGTATAATCTCCATTGTGTAAAAAAAAGGCACACCTTTTTATCCATTCCTCAGTCAATGGCTATTTGGGTTGCTTCCAAGGTTTATCCATAACAAATTCTGTCATCACAAATGGAGTCAACACAAATGACATGAAGAGTGTTTGAAAAAGTACTGCAAGTACAAAATTTCCCAAACATGGGAAAAAAAATCTAACATACAGTAAGAATGAAATATACTCTTCCAATTAGCCACAACCAAAATAAATCTAAACCCAGGCACATAATAATTAATATCCAAGAAATTCAGGAAAAGAACAGAATAATAAAAGCTGCTAGAGAAAAGGAACAGATTACTCACAAAGAATGCCCACCAGACTTGACCCATGGGATGAAACCAGTCCTAAGAAGAAAATCTATACAGTGAATTCTCACATCAGGAAAAAAAACCAATAAAACAATCTTATGCTGAATCTCAAGCTTCTAGAAATGAGAAGCAAGTCAAGCCCAAAGCCCAAAGAAGGAAGAAAATTATAAAGCAAGAACAGTAATTTGCACAATAAAGAGTAGGATATCTATCCAAAGAATAATGAATCAAAGAGCATTTCCTTGAACAAATAAATAAAATTAAAAAACCCTATCTATTTTTTATTCATATTTACATATAAAATTTGTCAATTTTGTTTCACAATATAGCCATTAGAATAAAGCATATGCACACACAGGATTTTCTTCTGTCTTTTCAATCTTCTTTTGCTTTTTCTTTAAATCTTTCATTTCCTTTATCACATTTATTACTCCTTCTCTCTGTCTCTCTTTTAGTTCATGTGTCACATTCTATACATCTATCTCCAACACACACATAACACAATGTGCGTGTGCACACACACACACACACACACACACACACACACACACGCCATTCAGTTTTACCTTGAGTAACAAGCCAAAACTTCTCTGAAGGTCACAGTAGGGGAGAATGTAAAGATAATCATTTCAAAAACGTTTGTATTCTCTATTGACTCTTTTTCCTTACTTTTTATCTTTTTCGTGCGGAAGTTTAAGGTTACTAAAGTAACAGATCATGTCTTGTATCTTAGTGACTTTCTTTTGTTTCTGAGACAAAATATCTGACACCCAAAGTCAATGATATAATATTCCTTTAGCTCAGAGTTTCCAAAGTTTCAGTCCTAGACAGATTGCCTCCAAGACAGGGTAGTATATGGGAGAGGGGCAACATAGTGGAAAAAAAAACAGCAAAATCAAGAGCAAAGGAGGCAAAACAAGCCCCTTCTTGTCCTTCATATTTTATCTATTCTACAGGGATTATAGTGATTGAACTCAATTAATGAAATGATTAATCAATCACCAAGCCTTAACCCCAGAACCCTTAATTCAAGCATTGTATAGTTAATTAATTACAAAGTTCAAATGACTTCACAAAGTCTGCGCCCCCCATGACTGCATCAAGGTTTGGGCGGGCATTCAGACACAAACCAGAACATCTTGGTCATATTTTTTTCTAAAAGCAGACATGAAGAGTTCCAACAACTCAGGTTCCTTCCCATTGGTGCTCACAAAGTGCACTTCTCTGGGAGGGGCAGGCTGATGCTTCAGTTGAACCCAGGCACCTTTCTCTTTGGCTTCCTTCTTTTTCTAATCATTTTCCTTGACACGTTTCAGGAAGCAATCATGACTTTTTGAGTGTTTAATATGTTCAATATACACATTAATCCTCTTGGCAAGTATATTGCCCTTAACTTGCTTGTTTATTACAATGACAACAGCATTCTGAGTAATGTTGTAGACTCTTCTTCTTTTGCTATGGTAAGATCTGTGAGGCATTCCTTTTTGCACAGTGCCCACTTCCTTAATGTCTACAATACCATCCTTTATGTAGATTCAGATATATGTGGCCAAAGGAACAACCTCATGTTTTCTAAAAGGAGTGGAAAACAAATGCTGAGTTCCTCTCCTCTTGCTCTTTGTGTTAGTCATTTTGGCAAATTATTGAAAGATGGCAGTTCTGGTGAAAAGGAGCCTATTCCCTATGAATTGTTAGCATAAACTGGAGATACTGCTTTGCTGTTCAACACATAATTGGCAGGTTAAGTGTTGTAGACCATATGTAAAAATATAATCATCCTGTGTTGTAAGGGTGGTTTTCTTAGTTGAACATGTATGTGATGTCTTTTTAACTCAGAAATATTTGCAGCAGATTTTCACTGTACCTAGTATTTATGTCTTGCCTTTCCTATTCCGTGTTTTTCTTGCTGAATGAGGTATTGTGTAAGTGTATACCCAAATATTCAAATATTTATAAAATATTTATATTGGCTTGAAGATGCTATAAATCACCGTGGGGAAAAGACACATCAAAATAAATGGAAGTCACTTCAGAAAGAAATGCAAATCCATTTCAGTTAAACAAATTGTTTAAAGAAAATGTAAATAAATATATAAATAAACAAAAATAGATGTGAAGAATCAGGAATAAGTAACATATTTAATGTTTAAACTGAGTGATGATTTCACAAATGTCCACTCAACGTTTTCAGAGATGTTCTGCACAGTAGGGAGGAGGTTTGATAGTATAATAAGAAAATATATACAGTTCAGATAATTTAGGATAAGTGACATGTATATGACAGGACTATCTGTATGATTTGAGATTCATATCTGTTTCTTATGAATTCAGTTATTTTTATGTACTGTTTTGGTCTATATCTCTCTGAAGTACCATTTGTTAGTTTTACTCTGGGTCTTTCTGTTCTCTGGGACTCTACTAACAATGTTCCACTAAGATGGCTGTGCTTATTCCTACTTGTTCAACTCTTTTTATGGAATTATAATTTTTGTAATTTTGAAACTTTTATAATTCCCACTAAATCTTTAAAAAGTTTGAATACAAATCACTTTTGTGATTATCTACAAATTATATTTAGTATTCAGTATTCAGTACTACAATCAATGCTAATACTTTCTTTTCTCTTTCTATCTGATTATCAAGAAGTAAAATGAATTACATTTACTAGGATTAATATATCGGTTCATTCAAAATGATGACAAACCTCTATTCACAGTACATGGAGAAGGTTCTCTGCACTTATTGATGATGTCGACCACCATAGTACACACTGTCCTGACACAGGAACAAAGGATTTGGAACACGTGATGTCTTCTCTGTTGTAGAACCTGATTTCTGATGTGTGTATAGATCTGCATATTGGTGTTTGTGTTTGGTGTGGAAATGTGGAAAGTAAGATGAAAAAATTGAGATGAAAAATAATTTCAACTTTTGATAAATTATGAGACAGTAATGTCTCAGCAAACAAACTGCTAGACTAATTTTAAAGGCTTTTATTCACTATTGTCATCTGAACTGAACTCAGTATTTAGGGCTCTTTGTTTTTGGAGGCGAGTAGGTCCAACCAGTCCTGACCCATTGCTACACCACTGTCTCCTTCTGTAGGACCAAGACCCAAGAGGTGTCCAGCCACTGACTCCTGCACAGGTACCTCATTCCTTCCTACCTCTCCAATGGCTTCCATGTGCTCCTTCTATCCACCACAAATGTAAGAGGAGATGCTGTCACTTTTTCCAGACAAAGAGAAGCTGAGGCTCAGGGGTGGAGACACTGTGTGCTCAGGGCGTGTGGAGATATGGCACAAAGGCTCCTGGGGCACAGTGTGTGATGACTCCTGGGGCCTGGCAGAGGCCGAGGTGATGTGTCAGCAGCTGGGCTGTCGTCCTGCCCCGGATGCCCTGGGAGAAGCTGCATTTGGCCCTGGAAATGGAAGCATCTGGCTGGACGAGGTGCAGTGCCGGGGCAAGTCCTTACTGTGGGCCTGTGCTAGTGCGCCCTGGGGACAGAATGACTGCAAGCATGAGGAGGACGCGGGTGTGAGGTGTGCAGGTGAGTGGCAAGATCAGGATCATGGGCTGGGGCTGTCAGAGTATATATCTAGAACAGATCTCTTTCTTCGGCCATGATTCCCCAGAAGCTGTGGTCTAAGTTCAATATATCTAGGGGAGAAGAATGTACACTGATAATTAGACTATCAAGTGCAATGATTCTGTTTTCCTTTTTTTTTTCTCTCCAGGCAAAATGACAACAAATTTCACCCATTCATAAAAGTAAGTGGTTCTTCTACTTTAAGACAGGCCATAGAGTGAAGATTAGATTTTCATGTATCTACACTACAGAATCTATATATTCATGCAATATTTTAGTAGGCCAGATGATAGACTTTCAAAGTAACAATAAAATATAATTCTACTGTAAGAGCTCCAGCACTTCTAATGCTAATGGAAATTCATTTTAGAGTGATCTTCATGTCAAAATATAGATTTTTATATACTCTAAAGACTTATTGCTTCTCTTACTCTTCAGGTACCAGTTCTATCTCAGCACCTGTTCCAGGTCTCCTTTCATTACCTGTGATCATCTGTATCATTCTGGGAGCCCTGCTTTTTTTGGTCCTTGTCATCCTTGGAACTCATCTGCACAGATGGAGAACAGAAATACGAGGTGAGGGATTAGGTTACTGGTAACCTCGAAATTGTGTGTGGAGAGTGTGAATCACATTCCCATCACTGCAGAAATATACCTGACCCCCACAACTGTAAAGGAGTAGATCATTATTTTGGCTCACACTTTTACTGAATTCAATCCATGGATGGATAGCTTCAAGAAAGAAACTATATGGAAGAAACTTATGGCAGAGGAGAGCTGTTTACTGTATGGTGGCAATAAAGTGAAGGTTCCAGAAGGAAAGAATTTGGGTGGGAGATAGTCTGTCCAAAGGCAAGCATTCTGCCCTCTCCATCCATGACACACTTCCTTTTCTATGTATTTAGTACAGGATCTACAGTGTCTCACTATACAGATCAGACTCACAGTGATCCTCCTGTTTTCAGCCTCCCAATTGCTGAGATTACAGGTGCATATCACTATGCCTAGGCTCATTTGCTGTCTCAGTGTGCCCCAGGGCTGGTGTCAGCACAGCACTCTGGGGATCGAACCCCAGTCCCTGCACCTGCCTAAGCAGTTGCTTTAGTCCACTGAGCTATCTGGCTGGTCCCCAGGACACACTCTAATAGCACAACCACCTATGAACTCTTCATTAGATAAATATATTCATGAATATAGGGCCTGTAAGGTCATAGCACATGAAACATTAGGGAGACTCTTATTTGTTTATCTAAGTTATGGTATTCAACACAGTCCCAAGAAGCTTCATGTCCATCTTATTATGCAAAATTAAGTTAGTATATTTCTAATAGTCACCAGTACCTTAACAGTTCCAACAGTTTTGACAAGCCCAAATTCAAATCTATTCTGAGATTTGAGGCAACTTCTAGCTTTGAGCTCCTATTAAAACCAAATAAAATAAAATTACATACTTCCCAAATAAGTAGGGACATAGGAAATATGTCCATTTTGAAAAGAATAGAAAGGGGGATATAAAAAATGAAACCAAAGCAAGAATATAACAGCACTCCAAACATTAAAACCTTGAATTCCATGTTTAACACATGAGGGGTGTTGTGCATATATATGAATCTGGCTCAAAGGTTGTAACCCATATGGTCTCACTCTCATTTACTGCCTATTGGCTAAGTATATGCACCATACTCCTGGCATCTCTAACTTTTTGTAGGCTCCAGTGCACCTTTAGCTTCACTATCACAGCTTCACACATTGCTTTCTTGAGGACTCATTTGAAATCTAGGTAGAATTCTCCATGATCCCTCAACTCTATCATTCAATGACTTGTAAAATTAACACAATGGGAATTACAAAATAATTCAACACTTGACTGAGAAGTAATGTTTTCTTTGAGGACCATAGCATAAATAAAACCTGAGGTCCTAGATGGCTGGGTAAAATGACATAAATTCCAGTGAACCATTTTTGTAGAAGACCCCTTTGAGCAAGAATCCCGTGGACTCTCTTCTCAAATAAACCTCTACAGTTTTATATCAAGAAGTGTAGGATGTTAATAACTATCAAGATGCCTGAATTCCACTTTTTCTTTAGTCCCTATGCAAAGTCTTTATTTCTTTTTAATGTTAATCTTTTCAGCAACCACCACTCTCTTTGACTCTAACTATACAGGCCCTTCTGTTCTAGCAAGGCTGAGTGTTCTAGGTCATTAGTCTGATCCTTCATCTTATCCTGATTCTAACAGTAAATCTGGTTCACAACTGCCAGAAATATCCATGTCCCAGCCTAAATCTTAGCTATTTTAAAATTTCCTCTATCAGATAAATAGATTCAACATTCATAATATCAGTCCCTACAAAGTCTTAGGACATGGAAAAAATGGAGACAAGACTTTTTGCCAGGATAACACACATATGTTCTAATATCACTATAAATGGCATCTTTGTTCCTATGTTAAACTTACTGAGATAAGCCTCTGTCCCCTCCTAATGGCATTCTGATCTTCTGAATTATGAGCAGAACATACCATGAATTTCTGCCTACTCTACTTGCAGCATTCTAAAATTTCTTTAGCTGACATCTCCAAACCTTTCCAAACCAATCAAGAAAGTCAATTTCAAAGGCCACTGAAACATGCATTGAGCTACCGTGATAGAAATATATCTGTACTGCACATTACAATTTTCTGTGTTTTCCACCTTTCCACTATTAGAACTGAATAGCCAAACCTACATCTTAAAGGTGCAGAGGATATTTGGGCTCACAGTTTAATTGGATGTAGTCCATGTTTGGCTGGCTCCAAGGCAAAACTATGGCTGAATGGCATGGTGGAAGAAAGCTGTCCACCACATAGAGGCCAGGATTAGAGAAAAAGTGAAGGAAGAAGAAAAAGAATACACTTCTCCAAGTCAGAGGCTCAGATCATCTGACCAGGGCCATCTAAGAACATCAGTCCTTGGGGGAGACATTTTAGACATAAACCATAAAGTAAAGGATGAAAAATGGTGTACTATTCAGGTAGTAGTCATGCTTTACTCTATATTTTCATCATCTGAAAAGCAATGTCCTCTAATTACATTTCATTGTTCTAAAGTCTTGAACCCTTCATCATGGATTGACTATAGGAGCTGTGAAAATATTTTTCCATATATACAGTTAGAGTTTGACTGAGTGTGGAATGCATGTAGGATCAGAAAAACTACTTCTATCCTAAAAGAACACAATATAAAGATAGTTACTAGGAAGTCCAGAAGACTGTCCCTAAAGGAAAGTATGAGGAAATTCAGGTGTTTTCTTTTAGCAAAGAAATGATTCCAGGGCAAATCTCTAAACTCAAGCTGCCTTCTTCAGCCTTTTCAACTTTTGAAGATCCTCTGGATGACACCTTTTATGAGGAGATAGATTATGTGATAACACCACAGAAGAACGACCTGTTTGATAACTCAGGTGTGTACCATGTGCTCTTTTATGGTCATGAGCTGGCTTTGGTTTGGTTTTTTCAGCACCCATGATTTTAAGTCAATTTTATTGGGACATTTTAGATGTACATAGTGATGACATTCATCTTGTGAAATTTTTACATGTAATGGCATATCTTTTTATTTTATTTTATTTTATTTTATTTTATTTTATTTATTTGTGTGTGTGTGGCCAGCTCAGCCCACCAGGGGGCGGGGCTGGCTGGCATGTGGTGCTGGGGGATTGAACCGCGGTCCCTGTGCTTTGCTAAGCTTGTTCTAAGTAGGTGCTTTAGACCACTGAGCCATCTCCCCAGCCCATGTAATGGCATATCTTGATAATTATTTTTCCTAATTTCTCCCCACACTTCAACCCCACTTCCCCCTCTTATTTACAAAATCATTACAATTAAGATGTAATCTAACCTTAACTTTCTTTTGTATCCAGAATTAAACTCTGGATCTTGCACTTACCAGGAAAGTGCTCTGCCACTGAGCTGTATTTCCATGGAAGTAGCCTCTTTTTTTTTCTTTTCATTTTATGCATTTGGTATACAGTCTCACTATACAGCTTGGACTCATAGAGATCCTTTTCAGTGGGATTACAGGGGTGTACCACCAGACCCGGACTGAGTTGCTGGCTCCATGTGCCTCTGGGCTAGGGCCAGTATGGCATGCAAGACCAGGAATCGAACTCTGGTCCCTGCACCTACGAAAGCAGCCTGACAGTAGCCTCTTATTAGGTAGAAACTCAAGCCCTTTCTCTACAAGTATGCAAACTTAATATTTCTCTGTATGTCTCCTCTCTGATGTTTTTATCCCTATCAGGAAACCTGTTTGAGGATTCAGTGACTAAGCTGTCCTATGGTACAGAAGACAATGAAGAAAATGGAGACCTGGTGTCTGCCCCAGGTAGTAGATACAAGTCTTCCTTTTGTGGATTATGTGAGAAGGAAGAATCTGATCTGAGGAGAATGTTTGCCTGTGACTAAGATGAAGATGGTTACTTCTCAGTATGTAATAATGATTTTTTGTCTGCTCACACTGTGATCTTGAAATAGGAAATGTATTGCTCTATATTCTTGTCCTCCACAGCTACTACAACACAGTCACAAATATTCAGAAAATATAATACCATAAGTTCAAAAGCTATTTTTTCAAAACCTACATTATAAAATTAAAAAACATCTCCATGATGACAGAGAACAATAGAAAGTATGTTTTTCATGCTGACATAGAGAGATAAAACAGTCAATTATGATTTAATTAACATTGAGAGATTTTTTGAAAGGTAACTTAAATAGTAACTGAAATATATGGAGTTTACAAAACTTATAGTTACCATCAACTTAGAGCTCTTCTCTGCAAAAAAACCAAAGAGCCGAAATTGTCTAGCCTGATACTTACCCAAGTGGTACAAATGAACAACTCAAGATAAATCACATGAAGAAAGGCTCTATGGAGAGGAAATACAAATCATAAAAGCACTATCATGGGTTGGAACTGAGATCAGCTACTTGGGAGTGAGATCTTCTATCTCAGTGTTACCAAAACAGTCTTTCCCATCCACCACACTTCTATATACCTAATTGTTTCAGAAAGTACATGCAGAGCTTTAATTCTCCCTTTCAGATTCAGATTCATTTTCCTTAGTCTCTATTATGTGTGTATTACATATTTCAATAAGAATTATTACCATAATATACTTGGAACTTAGAGCATGAATTTGTTAGTGTATTCTAGCATTAGAGGCTATTTTACTTTTTTTTTTTTTTTGAGGAAGGGTCTACATGGTGTTCAGGATCTCACTACTAGATCGGAGTCCTAGTGATCTGCCTATTTACATCCTCCAAAGAGCTGGGATTACAGGTGTAAGACACCACACCCAGTCTCAATTTCCATCTAAGAGTGTCTCAGGGGTGGGACCTGCAAGACAGGCCCCTAGGCCTGCTTGCAGGAGTTTTAATACACTGAGATATTCTGCCAGCCCTATTAGAGGCTATTTTAATAAAATATTATTTACACTACTATGTTGGAATACATTAAAAATTTAATGATTTCTAAAAGTATTAACTTCATATATTTGTCATTGGACAACCTTTAATAGGTGGCTATATTCATCAATCATTAGAATCTCTGCACTTAAAGAGATTTACATTAACTTGTACATCCCATACTTTCTTCTACCTCATTCATTGTCTCTTTTCAGAACCTCTAACAAAGAATGTTAGAGCCACAGAAAATGGCTATGATGACATGGAGGAGTTCCCTGTTTCTAAAATTTCATCTTCCCCTGAGATGGTTGAGAGGCACATTTTCCTGGAAGGTGGAGCTGTTTCCAGGAATTCTCAGTCAGGTGGGTAGACAGCGTTGTCTCCTTTTGTGTACTTACTTGTTATGGGCAACATGAGTTTATACCCATAACTCTTCTATTTTTCATTAGTATAAGAAACTAGGAAGCTTTGTATAGTTGGGTGAGGTCTTCTTTTTCTTCTTAAAAATTTATTTTAACTATAGCAACTCTTCCAAGAGAAGAAACATTTTTTTCTATGTTCATAACTATTACTCATGAGGTAATGAACATGTGTGAGCTTCATATTTTGTGGCTTTTCTGCTTTACTTCACACCCACAGCAACATATATTATCTCACTATGAATATGGAAGCTCTTTTTATCATGAGGAATAACCTGTAAATGTTTATAATGGAAAGGTCAATTTCATCTATGAACCTTAGAAATTTTGTGGAAAACATGTAAAGAAACATTTGAAGTTGACATTTGTCATTGTTGTTACAGAATGTGCAATGGCCTTAATTAAAAAGTGATAAAAATGTATCAATGGAAGAAAGAAAAAATATATTCATTTTCATTGAGTTGGCACATGACATCGCTGTAAGGACTAGAATTTCTGCTCATTTATTGACATATAGTCCATGGGGAACAAGAAATGCTGGGATTTGGTTAATCTGTCATCTTTTGGAACCAAGGGAGGATACACAAACTCTCTGAGGTCATGTGTGGTCTGTCATGAGTTACACAGAAAATATAGTTGTCATCTCCAGTCTTTATTTCTTGAGGTTTAATACCAGCCATTTCTGAAAGGAAGTTTCCTTCCTTGTTTATATTTCTTGTCATTTTTGATTCATATTCTTTCTTATTATTAATATGAAAATATTTTGAACAGAGCAGTCAGTACAAGATACCACTATCTCAAATTTTACAGTAGTCTGTGTGCTTGTGATATTTTGTACTCATTGTACTCACATTTTCTTCTGCAATACTACAACTGACATTGTGTATCACAGAAATAAGGATTATCTGTACTGTTGCAGGCATGTCGCTTCAATCTCAAAGAGAACCTGCCAACCCCAGCACTGAAAAGAAGGCATCTTCACTGTCACTGAGTCAAAAAGACACTGAATATGATGATGTTGAGCTTATCAACTAACTCTACAAATAAGACCTCTGTGATATTATTTACAAAATAAATATCTGTCATCTTCATTACTATAAATTTTTTAGTTCTATAGACAATTGAAGGAAATAGGATAGTAAGTTCTCTGTTCTTACAGAGAAGAGTCTATTTTTCCTTAATAATGTGTGTACAATGAAGCTGATTGCTTTGGAAAATTCATTTTCAGAGTGAAAATGGAAAGTGATACCATTTTTGTCACTTGAGATCTCAGTTCAAAATCCATGTTATCTCTCCTGCCAACTACCCTCTTTCCTTCTATGCTTAATGTTCATTTTTCCTTAGAATTTCATAAATCTCTGAAATGCATCCCAGAATACAGTTCTGACTCATATGAGGAAAAACTTAGAGATATCCAGCTGAATCATCCAAAATATCTCATTTATTATTTACTAATAGCTAGATTTGTGGTCCAGAATAAAGAGATATTTCAAGTGAAAAGAAATAATTGCTCCTCCTCTAATTTTCATATAATATCACTAAAATCTGCTGCTCCCTAAAATTGGAAATTACTAACATCACCTTTCTTATATCATGTTATACCTGAACATTCAAAATATCCTTCTCTTCCATGTTCCAT